CCACAACTACTGAGCCAGTGCTCTAAAGCCCACGTGCTGCAACTACTGAAGCCCGTGTACCTAGAGCCCGTGCTCTGCAACAATAAAAGCCACTGCAATGAGAAGCCCGCGCACCGCAACGAAGAGTAGCCCCTGCTCGCCACAACTAGAAAAAGCCTGAGTGCAGCAACGAAGACCCAACGCAGCCAAAAAAAAAAAAAAAGGACACTTAACTCTTTGCCCTTCAGATTTTACTTTTTCTGATAATCCTTTTCTGACCTCCTGAAACTAGGCCATATGCCCCTCCTGCGAGCCCCTGTAGCCCCCAATGGTAATCCCTACTGTAGCATTGATTTCTCTGCGTTGTTTTTCCTGTCCACTGGTACCTGCTCTATCACAAGACTGTGAACTTCTCAAGAACAAGGACCTGGTTAGGGTCACTGTTGTATCCTCAGTACTCGGCTTAGTGCCTGCCTGTGTAAAGCATTTAATAAATAATCAGTGAATCAATAAACCTTTATTGTTTGTGTCATACTCTTTAATACCTACTTATAAATGCCCTATATTGCTTTTATTTTCATATGTGTTAGCCTGATCTTTATAACCAGATTGCAAGTTTCTGGAAGATAGCAAATGTGCTCAGTACTTCTAAGTCAGAGGTTACTGACACAAAAACTGACACATTATTAAAAACTAACAATTATTCAGGGCTCAATGAATGTCAACAATCCAAAGATGTAGGTACTATTTTTCTCTCTCTCTCACCCTCCATATGAGGAAACTGAGTCAGGGAGTTTAGCAGCTTCCCTAAGATGACACAGCTAGTAAGCGACAGAGCTGGCATTTGAATCCTGACATTTGTGCCTGTATTCTCAACCCCTATAATCAGAGGCTGAGGAAACTTGGAATTACCGATGTTAAGTAATTTACCCAAGGTCATACTGTAGTTCTGGGACTGGGACCCAGGTCTTCCCAAAGCCTGCACTCTTAATTACACTGCTTCTTTTGCTTAAATAATCGTGCTAAAGCTCATACTGGGTGTTGATAAATTTTGAAAGCTGCAGATCCAGTTTACTGAGATTGGAGAATATTAAATTCCCTTCCAAAAGAAGCATAATTGTAGCTTACCGAGTTAATTTACCTTAAACATCGCCAGCCTAGTCTTACCAGCCAATTAAGTTTATGGTCTCTACTTCTCTCCCTTCAACGCTGAAGGCTGTTTTCCTCAATATGAAAGCCTTGTTTTCTAAGACTGGCCTCTAACTCAAAATCAGCTCTCATTCAGGAATTTACTCTTCCCTTTATTTCCCAAAACCAGTGATGTGATTGATGTTCCCAAGTTCCCTGCTCTCGTGGCCCCTCATCTCCCCAACATGGAATGTCTTGTTTCTGAAAGTAGCCTGTGATCCACAAGCCTTCTTGGCTGTTTTATTGTTTATCCTTAAAAAATTACTATTCTCTGTCAGCTTAGACTCTTTTCCTCACATACTCTGCTTTTTCCCTTTATTGCAAACATTTATTAACACTTAACTATGTACTAATATGGACATAATCTAACTCACTGAAGGCCATACTTTAGAAACGGCCTTGAAGTTTAGATCTTTTGACTGGACTATGATTTCCTTAACAAACTTCATAAAACCATCTCCTGCTCAGTTTGCAATTGTACACCCAAATATCTCTCAGCAAAATCTCAGTGGCCACTTCCACAGCACATAATATGGAGAGAATATCGGGAGTCAACTCATTAGACCTTACCACGAAGAATTTTTTACCAACACCTTGGCCCTTTTGCTGACAAAAGGATTCTTAAGCCTTTTGACAGCGTTATGGCTTCCTTAGAGCTCTTCTACGTTCAAAATGAACTGTCCAGCTTTCTTGGGAAATGCTCTGGAGGCTCTTTCCTGAATTAACTGTACAGCTTTGTCTCTCTGGATTAAGCACTGATTTCATATGAAACCAACAGTTAAACATCTCTGAAATAGTAAAATATGATTATATTTCACAACGTTGTCTTCAGGATATAAACAATCCAAAGTGACTATTTGGGTAGTGCTGTATCACATTATTATTGTAGTAATATTTTCAGAAGAAATCTGAAGTTTAGAATAACTATAGGCCATAAAATATGGACATATTGCACTAACACATGAAGCAAAGTTCAAATTTGTATTCTAAGGAAAAGACCAAAACATCACCAATGATGATGACAGGCACATCTCTGAACTTGATCTGATTTCCTTGAGGAAGGAAGGTACTGAACCGGTTATAACAGAATATGCCTTTGAAGGATTGAGCAACAAGTCCGTCATTCTCGAAAAAAATCAAATCATCCTGATAAATGTCTTAGTTATAAGGGAGAAAAAGCAGAGATGACTAGGCTGATAAAAATCTCCTCTGGCCTGTCTTATATCTCTTCCAGGCAGTGCTGTTCCTCAAAAGACACACGGCACAAAATATGGTTTTGCTGTTATATCAAAGTGTGTAAGTTAGGGAAGATAGCAGTTTTTTAAACAGAAAAATTAGATGATAACAGCAACAGGTAAAGAAGCTTTGGGCTTCTGAGGAGGAAGTCCTGGCACCCCTACATAGGCACAGTAGATAAACTGAAAACGGTACAAGTGCTGGTCTGAGTACAGCCTGTCTCTATTGTAATCAGAAGGAAGAGTATTACAATCCAGCAGAAGTAGCCGTTCAAAGTCTAAAGAGGAGCATTTCATCAGACAATAATTGAGCACTCACTGCATACAAAGGCAACAGATTAGGTGCTGAGGGATCCAAAAGAACCCCCTGCTTCTCTGAAATTAGAACTGTATTCTCATTTTCTCAAGCCAATGTATTTTATGTAATGAAACAAAATATGCATCATAGATCTCTTGCAGTGGTGTAAGAGTATTCAGGACCTGCAAGGAAAACTGTGCAAAGAACCTTCCCCTTCAGTCTTTTCCTTGTAGAAATATCCTACTGGTTCCCTGAAAATAGTGTAAGCTTTCTTTAGCAAGTGAAATACCACCCTGTTACTCTCTCCCTCTTACCCTGTTTCACTTTTTTTCATAACACTTAAGACCGCTTGACATTTTATAGATTTGTCATCTGTCTTTCTCAACTAGAATGTAAGCTTCATGAAGGCAGAGATTTCAAAATATTTTGTTCGCAGATATATTCTCAGTATCTCAGTATCCAGAACTATATCTAGGGCTTCCCTGGTGGTGCAGTGGTTAAGAATCCGCTTGCCAGTGCAGGGGACATGGGTTCGAGTCCTGGTCCGGGAAGATCCCACATGCTGTGGAGCAACTAAGCCCAAGCGCCACAACTACTGAGCCTGCGCTCTAGAGCCTGCGAGCCACAACTACTAAGACTGAATGCTACAACTACTGAAGCCCGTGCGCCTAGAGCCCGTGCTCCGCAACGAGAAGCCACCACAATGAGAAGGCCGCGTACCACAACAGAGTAGCCCCCACTCGCCACAACTAGAGAAAGCCCACACACAGCAACGAAGACCCAATGCAGCCAAAAATAAATAAATAAAATAAATTAAAAGAAAAAAAAAGAACTATATCTAGCATGTAGTTGTAGGAGGTTCTTAAAATTTTTGTAAAATTAATAAAAGCATTAAAAAGACACCTGAATATTATGTTAGAATTATTAAGTTATAAAATTTTGGCGTATCTGTGTATATATGTGTGGGTGTGAGAGTAAATTTACAGACTCCATATGGTGTGATTCCCAGTGGACACCAAGTCAGGAGTCAGAGGATCACAAGCTTGTGTGGGGAGTTAGGAGAGTGATTGCAAAAACAAAGCAACATGTCTTATTTAATGGATGGAAGGAATCAAACATTGTCAGCAAACGTCTCCAAAGAGTAAACTAAATGTATCTTTCTGTCCTTTCCATGTCTGAAATCTGAGTGTAGTGAATCCAAATTCACTTCAGATTAGTTGGTTTGACATTAGCTTTCTTCCTTGAGAAAACTTTTGACATTTATGTAGTAAAGTTTTCTTCTTTTCCCTCCTCCCTAAATTACTGCCTGCAAGATGCAAGCCCTCAGATCCAAACAGTATCCCATTTCTATTCTGAGATTTGCCTGAGTCACAAGGTAATCTTGGCAAATCACTCTGCTCTATCTCTTAGTTTACTGAGGCTGCCTGGGAACTGGAGCTGTCAGCCAAACAGGAAGAGAGCTGTGTTGCCTAACTCCAGAAGGTCTCAGTCCTATGGATGTGGTGAGGTTTAATGATGGATATAAACGGCTGCAGATGGAATTCCCACAGGGTGGGGGTGGCGGGGGGGGGGGAAGGCAAACATTTTACTTCCTCTATAGGAACTCAGGGCTGGTAGAAAGGCCAGACTATTAAATATAGCTGAGCAGATATCTCAATGTGTCTGCAAGACATGTGTTTCCAACTAAAAAGACCCCTTCTGTATTCCTACTTATTCCTACTATATATGACACCCCAAACCCCAAATATAAGCAAAGGTATGTGACTGATCTGACCCTGGCAAAGTTACACTGTTTAAAAAAAAAAAGAGTCAGTGTTTATAAACACGTATAAACTACAAAGGCCCTTTTTCAAGAATGGGTATAAAGAGCTGCTTCCACCTGGATGCTCTGATTTGTGCCCCATCCACGGTCTCAAGTTCCTCCTGGTTGTGTAGCTAGCATGTTCTCCCTAAGTGGTTCTGCCTTAGTCACTGTGATTCTAAACTCCCTGCCCCCACCCCCACCCCCAGTGATGCCTCTTGACAAAATTATTCTTTCTGTACTCACACAAATGGAAACAGAAGAGATGAAAGGCCCCGGGGATGCAGACAGTGCAGGTCTCAAGCTGAACCACTGCTAAGCACAACCTGAACTTTTCTGCCTCTCTTCGCTTGGCTGAGTTCCTCTCCTGACTCAGGGTAGAGTGATGAGCCTGGTATAGGAGGCTTAGGACCCAGGGGGCGCCTTTCAGCCGAGAGAAAAAAAAAAAAAAAACAAAAACCACCTCGCTGCAGCAAGCTGGCTGGGAAGCTCCCAGTTCTAAAGAGAGGCTGTTTACCAGAAGAGCATAACAAGGGCAGGTCTGACTGCAAGGCTGGGAACGGGAGGCAGAGCCGCCGCCAAGGGGACCCCGGTTGGACTCTGGTTGGTCAGTCACCTGCAGGACGAAGGAGGTGAGGATGCTGTTGGCCTGGCTGCAAACAATCCTCGTCGTCAGCAACATGCTCCTGGCAAAAGCCTATGGATCTGGAGGTGAGATTACTGTCTTTCCTTTCTGCAGTAACTTAATGAAGCAGAAAGGGTAGAGCTCCCTATTTCCCAAGCAGGAAGGAAGATGACAGGAAACGAAGCTTTTAGCAGGTTCCTGTTGTCCCATGAAAGCCTTTTTTTTTTTTTTCCCCTTTCTCCTTTCCCTGCCAGGAGCTTGCAGCTCCATCTTTGCCATTAAGAACAAAGGCAAGTAGCCACTTTCTCTTTCCTTTTCCTTGCCTGTGGCTCATGAGTGGATGGAACTTGGGGGTTCATCTCCCCTACTCCTAAGTACTGTTCTTTTCAGGGGCTTTGCACGGTGTCACCAGAGCGCAGGCCCTCCTCCCTCAGCCCCTTCCTGCGGCTCTCCTGCTGAGGCGAGTGGGAGTTTGGAGTCACATCCAGGCAGCGATGAGGCTGGTTCCCTCTGTCTGAGGCTCTCTTTTCCGTGACTGAATCAAGGCTTTTGTAGAATTCTCTTGGGAGGGAGTGTTGCCTGTGGAAGTGTGGCCACATCCGCAGAGAAGGGAACACAAGAGTTTATGTAACATGGAATGACAACACAGGGATGGATTTCGGGTCCGGCTGCCCACCGACCGAAAACTCCCATCGTCTCCAGAGAGAGACCTGAACCCAGGGCTCCCCAGCACCCTCCTGCAAACTGGCCACAAGTTCCAGAGCGACAACCCCTTGGGTTGTGCGGTGCTTTGCGGCTTACCAAAGAGAAAGAAAAGAAAAAAAGCTAATACTGAGCGTTGGGGGCCGGGCACCGGGCACCGGCTGGGGGCTCTTCACGCGCTCTCCCTCCCTTCTCTTTCCGGCCTCACAACCCTGCGAGGCAGACGGGGTTTTCCACGTGAGGGCAGCGTCTCCCAGCTGGGGTGGGCCCGGGCTCCCCTGCCCGCCACTCAGTGTCCTGTCCGGGGGACTCCTCTTCCTCACAGGCTGCTTCTGGGACAACGGCCACCTGTACCGGGCTGACCAGCCGTCTCCCGCACCGGGCCTCCTCTGTCTCAACTGGCTGGACGCGCAGAGCGGCCCGGTATCTGCCCCCGAGTCGGGTGAGTGCCTGTCCCGCGAGGCGGGCCTCGGGCGGGCGGGCGGCGGCTGCGTCCCGGCCCCGGCCCATGGCGCCTTCTTTCCCCTCCCAGGCGCCGGCAACCATAGCTACTGCCGGAACCCGGACCAGGACCCACGTGGGCCCTGGTGCTACGTCAGCGGCGAGGCCGGGTCTCCCGAGAAGCGGCCTTGCAAGGACCTGCGCTGCCCAGGTACCCGCTCGGGACCCCGCGCCCAGGGGGGGGGCCAGAGAGCCGGCAGCGCACGTGCGGCCGCGCGACGCCGGCCGGCCCCGCCCCGCCCCTCGCCGTCCGATTGGCCAGGGCTGTCTCCAGGCCGCGGGGCCCGAAGCCCATTGGCCAGCGCCGCCGCCTGGAATGAGCTCATCCTCCGCGAGCGCCTAGTAAACAACCGTGGGCCGCGAGGCCCGGCCCCTCGGCCGAGCTCCCTGCCCCATGCTTCGCCTGGGGAGCCGCAGAGTCGCGCGTCCCGGGTCCACGCCCTTAGTGAGACCTTGGGCGTTTACGGACCTCTTGTGGAGCGTCTGCTGTGTGCTAGGCACTCAGCTCACAGCACCCCCGCCATCCCCAAGAACCAGTTTGGGGGATCTGAGCCTCAAAGAGAAGTTCAGCGATTTACCAAAGGCAGTGACAGGGTCCAGGTTTGAATCCAAGTTTCTTAGACTCCATAGTGCATACTTGTGGCTCCCGGCGCAGCAAGACGATTCTCTAGGATTAAATGGGATATGTAAACATATAACATAGGGATTGGCATAAAGCTTGGGCTCAACAAACCTGAGCTGCTCAGAGGAGTCATGGATTGTTTCCTGGCATAGAGGGGGGACCCCTGGAGGAGGTGGCAGCTGAGCTGGACCTTGGAAGATGGCAAGGATTTGAGCATATGAAGACGTGGGAGGCAGGAGAGGCCCTTTCTCATAGCCTTCCCCTCACCTTGGCCTCGTCCCAGCTATGGTGCAGCCCTTAGGCCTGGTCTTGCCCCTAGGTCTTGAAATAAGTGCGTTCTAAGGTGGGCCCCCTCGTCTCCCCCCAGACTCAAGGCACTTTCTGATGAGAGCTGTTTCCCACTTCACCTCCAGAGACCACTTTCCAGGGCCTGCCAACCTCTACAACAGAAACCGAGGAGGTGTCTGAAGTGCCAGGAGGAGATGAGGTGCAGGTGTTTGCTCCTGCCAACACCCTGCCTGCCCAGAGCGAGGCCGCTGCCGTGCAGCCAGTGATTGGGATCAGCCAGCGGGTGCGGGTGAACTCCAAGGAGAAAAAGGACCTGGGAACCCTGGGTATGACTGCCCACCCCTGTCCTTGTGGGATTTATTGAGAAATGTTTGCTGATTATCTCTAGGGTGGAGATAATGGTATACCTTGTGTCCTGTCCTTGGCAGGCTACGTGCTGGGCGTTACCATGATGGTGATCATCATTGGCATTGGAGCTGGCATCGTCCTCGGTTACACCTACAAGAGGTCAGTAGCTTCTCTTCTGGGCTCTCTGAGAGAGGAGAGGAAGGTCCACAAAGTCAAAGCAGACTCCTTTGTGGCATTCTTACCCATAAAGGAAGTGAGGTGTTGGAAGAGGAAAACCAGCTCAAGATGTAGAGACTTGGTTCTAGTCTTTACCAGGTGACCTTGGACAAACCCTTTCCTTTGGTGCCTTTACTCCTCACCCCAAAGCCTCCTGAGGTAGGGGTTCTTGTTCCCCATTTTACAAGTGAGGAAGCCTTCATCAGAAAGGTGAAGTAAGCTTGCTCAAGGTTATACTGCCTGGGAGTGGCTGGATTCAAACCCAGCTCTTTTGACACCACATTCCCTGCTGTCTAATCCAGCATGCCTCGTGTGGAAGTGAGTGGCCCTGCAGAAATCAGGCTGGGCTCTCATTGCAGGGACCCTGAGATTGAATTCTTTCTGTGAGTTATAAAATTCTGGTACTAGAAAAAGTTCCCAGCCACTGCTTTTGCAGTTGGGGCTTGAATGTCCTGAGCCATAAGCAGTGGGATCTCCTTTAGGACAGGAGGAAGGAAGTGAGTAAGAGGATAGGGAGTCTGTTAGCTACTCTACACCACATATGAGAAAGCCAGAGAGGCTACCTGGGAAACTCAGGGACGTGACCTGTGGCTGGGACGGCAGAAGGAGGAATGCTTATTTTGAGAGGTCCCCTGAGATGCCATGTGGAAAAGGGTCTCAAAGCCAGTGACAGATGCATGATGATAAGCCAGAGTTATGCCCGTTTTTACAGCACTAGCTAACTCTGGGAAAATTATTTGCAAAATCTTGGGCAAAATCAGGGGATTTGACTTCTAGTCCAGAGTATGTGTGATGTTTCTTTTCTATGGTCTGGGAAGGCTTCCTATAAGGGAAGTGATGTGGTGGCCTGCATTTTCCAGTGGTGAAGACCATGTCTGAGCCCACAGCCCCAGTGGGTCACCCAGCATTAAATAAACTGAGGTGTCCTTAGGGCAATGTAGTCAGCCTCCTCATTTTACAGATGGAAAAGGGGAAGTGTTGGGTAAGAATAATAACAACAATAGCAGCAGTAGCGAACATTTACCAGAGGCCAGGCACTGCTTCAAATGATACGCACACTTTAACTCAATCTTCGCAATCACCCCTTATGAGGTAAATGCTGTTATTATCCCCAGTTTACAGATTAGGAAACTGAGACAAGAGAGGATATGTACCTTGCTTGAGGTCACACACCTAGCATTTGGTGGAGTTAAGTCTTAGCCCTGCCACTAACTAGCGATCTGTGTGACTTTGGGCAAGTTGCTTCTGTTTGCTACTCCAGGGCACTGCTGTAGCTGAGGATGCGACTGCCTGGCACATAGTAAGTGGTCAGTAAACCATAGCTATTTTTCTTTTCTGTAAAATGTGGGTACTGCACTAGCACTCTCTGGGCCCCAATGCTTCTCTGATCGTCTGTGATTCAGGAAGCACAGTTCAGAGAGGGGAAGTATTGACCTGAGAGTGTCTCCTGACTCCTAGTGCAAGGTTGCTGCCCTCAGTGGGATGGTTGACGTGGCAGGTCCAGAGGCACCTGCTTGTCATTTCACAGAGTCAGAGGAAATGATGGGGAGACCCTGGTTATAGTTCGTAGTCAGACCCAAACTGTGTTGGCTGAGTCTAGCTGTTGAAATATTTCCTCCTTCTTCAGCCACTGGATAGCAGTTGGCTCTCCTCCAATCCTGTGACAGTGTCCAGGCCTCCAGGTGCGTGAACTGACTGCTAAACGTCCTTAATTGCAAGCTCAGTTCTTAGGCCCAATGAGGAAGCCAAGCCTTTTTCTTCTAGATTTGTTCCTTCAGGCTGTCACAGGATTGCCCCAAGGCCTTGTGTTTATTTTCCTGTAAACTCAGGGCGAGGCACCAAGTCACCAGACTCCCCGTCACTAACCATCGGACCACCCCTTCCCTCGTCAAAAGTGCTCTGAGCACAGACTGTACAACAGGAAACCGCATGTGGGCTGGAGGCAAGCTCTCAGCCCCTATCTCTCCCCAGAGTCAGAAAACAGTGTTCTGGAAAGCGCTGTTGAGCGCAGGTCCTGCTGCTTCCCTGCACCTCCGTTTCTTGTTTCTTGTCTGTTCAGTGGGGCTGTATCCCCACTCCACACACACATACCCACCCCAGATTACCATTAAGTATTACGTGTAAACAGTAGAACACCAATCAGGTTAAATAACCACTAGCTGCCAGCATTTATTGCATGCTTTCTTAATAAGCGAGGCCCCACTGAATGCCCTTCCCTGATGATCATGCCCAAGCCTCAGGACCACACTAGAAGGACCACTTTTACACCGTTTTACAGTGAGAAGCTGAGAGCCAGGGAAGTTAAGTGCTGTGTCCAAGCTACACAGCCAATAAGGTGTGTCTAAGGATTGCCAGTTATCTCCCAAAAGTCCAGCGAGGCCCAGGAACTTCATGCCAATTTGCATTGGATTGCATAGGACAGTAGGAAAAATTGGAACTTTCAAAATAAAATAGCTGGGTTTAAAAGTTAAAAGAACCAGGATCTAGTTCTGGAACACCCAGTTCTGGGTGTGACAGTGGACAAGTCATTTACCTTCTCTGATCTCCTCATATGTAAAATAGGGGCAGGAGATTAGTGATGATACTCCCAGCTCTAACGTTGCCTAAAAAAAGACGATATTACCTGGTGGTGGCTGCAGGCAGTACTGAGTTCAAATCCCAAATCCACCATTTGCTTGAATAAATGATTAAACCTCTGTGCATCTGCCTTCCCATCTCTGAAACAGAGATCCTAATAGATGCCACATAGGTTTGTTGTGAGGATGAAATTAGTGTAGTTTGGGCAGACAGTTGGTGTTCCTAACCTTAGCTGCCTTGAGAAACTTGTCCTGAGCAGCAGTGTGGCACAGCACTGCTTCTGACTGAGAAGGGAGCAGTGGCTCAGAGTTACATAATAATTTGAAGGAACCCGTGTTACCTGAAGGAGGTCTCGGGTGCCTCCAATCAACCCCCCAAAGAGGATGTCAGACACAGGCAGCAGCTCCGTCCACACCTGCTCTCTCAGGCCAGCCGAGCTCCCGGTCCTGGCCCCAGAGCAGTCAGGATAGAATTACTGCAAGCCATGAGCCCCCCTATCCCCCTCCCCACAAAGGCCAGGGAGAGAGCTTTCCCCTGGCCGGGAGGAGCAGGCAGTACCAGGCTTCCTCTCAAGGGAGGCAGGGCAGCAAGTGGGGGCCGTGAGGGCTCAGCCTGGTGGGTCTTTGTCCTGGTTGTCTGGGCCACGAGGTTCAGGTGGCCAGTCTGCAGCTCCCTGCCCCTGCCACTGCCCCTGCAGCGTCTGTGCTCTGGCTCTGGAGGGAGTATTTATTTTCTGATACAAAGGCAAGGGAAAAACTGTAAGTCAACACCACTCTGCCTGCTTAAGAGAGGAGCTGAGTCAGTGAATAAGTCTTTTGTTCTTTCTTGGCTGCCAGACAACAGCCTGGCTGCCCCCCCTACCCCTAAAAGGTGGTAAGAAGGGGCTGAGCCGCCTGGTGGTCAGTGCAGCAGGCCTGCTGGCCTCTCTCAGACCTCAGAAGGGGCTGGGGGCAGCCACCGCACCTCCAGGACTCACAGGCACCATTAACAGGAGGCACGTGGGGTTGGGTGTGTTTTGAGGCTTCTAAATGGAAGAGACTGTCATCCAGATGAGTCCCAGCACCTGCTTCCTTCATTACCCTTGGCTGCTCTTCCAGCCCGGCTCTGCCCCATTAATCCAAATTGATTTTTCCCCCCTAAAGCAGCAGTACCCAACCTTTTTGGCACCAGGGACTGGTTTCATGGAAGACAGTTTTTCCACGGACGGGGGTGGAGGGGGGGGCCATGGTTCAGGCGGTAATGCGAGCGATGGGGAGCGGCAGATGAAGCTTCGGCTCATTTGCCCGCCGCTCACCTCCTGCTGTGTGGCCCAGTTCCTAACAGGCCACAGACCGATACCAGTCCACGGCCTGGGGGTTGGGGACCCCACCCCTGCCCTAAAGACTTGTGTATGATGCAGCCTGACCATTATCAACGGCTCGGCTGACCACAGCTGGATGCTTGATAAAGGAGGTAGCTGAGGAAAGCAGGGCTTTGGAGTCAGACTCCAAAGCCTCACTTTCTTCTATAAAATGTGGGTGATATTTGCAGTCTTGCAAAGTTGGGTGGAAAGTGAACCAAGATGGTACATGTATAAAGTGTGTGGCATCCAGTAGGTGCATAGGTAGCTCTTCTCATGCTGGATGATGGGAAGGCCATTTCCTGGCACCTTAGTGGGTCCTCAGGAAGCATGAGTTCCTGCTTTCCCTCTTCCTCCAGCCCCTTAGATTTTGAAATTCAGGCCTGGCCCAAGACTCTTGGCAGATACTCTCCTTCTTTTGTAAATGGCCTTTTGGTCTTCTGCTGGCTTGGGGGCTCCCTTAATAAAATTAAACCGAGACCTTCCAAGTTTCTCCCTACATGGGCAGACTTGAAGAATCTAGCATTTTTTTTATTACAGAGGTAGGTGTTTTCTTCCATGCGGCGGCAGCTGTAATCAATGGGCAGTGCCCAGGGGCAAAGTGAATCTCAGGCTGTGAGTGGGAATGCACTTGGTCCAGACAGCCCTGTCCTCATGGCCCTCCATGGCCCCTCTGGGTGCTCTGGGAGGTCCTCTGCTGCGGGGGTTGGTGGTGTCCAGTACAGAGCCTGATGAGGATGGGTAGGAGCTGCAGGCTTACACATTCAGAAACTTGGCCACCCAGGGTGAGTCAGGGAGATGAGCTTACAGGTTTGCCTTCTGTGACCTTACAGTGAGAAATAGGGAGTCAGGGCACATGTCATGTGTGGGATCTCACAGAATGTTAGGGTCCGTGTAGGTTAACAAGTCCAACTCCCTGTTTTACAGATGATGAAATGAAGGCCCCAAGAGAAGGGGAGTGGCTGAGGTCACACAAATAATACTCACCTTGGCTGGTCAGTAGGAGAGTTCCCTTGGGAACCCAGATTAAGATAACGTTGCTTGGTGAGTCAAGTCGTTTTCAGGGCAAATCATAACAGCCTCCTATGAGTTTTACAGCAGTTCCACTGTTTTTGAAATGCTTTCCCATCCATTATCTTATTTGGAGGCAGATATTATCCCCATTTCACAGATGAAGAAACCAAGGCTCCCCGAGGCCAAGTGTCACACAGCCAAGGCTGGGCTGCTCCAAGTACAGACAACTGGTTTATTTAAAGACAGTTGTGAGGTACCTGTGCCAGCTTTTCCCTGTCCAGCCCCTGCTGTTTTCTCAGTGTTACTCTCCTCTCTGGACACTTTTGTCATCGCACCTCACATGGTGATGGCTGTGTAATCCATCTGATCTTGGCCGTCTCCCCAGGGAGTCTGAAGCAGGCCTGTGTTGCTGCACCAAGCCATCCATTGGCTACTTGTTTCAAGGCCTCTTTGGGGTGGGCTCCTTCCGGAAAGATTTCCTCTGACAGCTGAGCCCACGTATCTAGTTGCTGTGTCAGACGATGCTGACCTGCGTGCTGGGGGCTGGTTCTGGTGTGCAGTGCGCTAGGCACACACCAAGCCCTTTGGCTTGCAGTGGGGGTGGCCTGGTCCCGTGGGTTGGGCAGAACATGTGCAGCTGGAAGACTGGGTGTGTGAGTCTCTGCCTCACTATTTCTTTGGGGGTGACCCTGATCGGGTCAGAACTTCTGTTGAGCATCAGCCTGAGTCTGACAGACTTGGGTTTGAGCCCACCATGTCATTCAGAGAGTTCAGTTTCTCTGGACTTATTTCCTCATCTATAAAATGAATGATAAGACCCAATTGTTAGGGTTCCGAATGAAGTGAGATAACGCTCGTAAAGCTCTTAGCATGAAGCGAGCACTTCATGTGTGTGAAATGGGGCAATATCAGGGCCTGATTGGGTCACTGAGCACCATGAGAATTGGAAGGCGTGTGAAAACTCAGGGTCCCATGGTCATTGTCTCCCATTGACCTGAGCAGCCCTCAGAGTCCTTTTTGGCCCCTGCATGGTCCCTGTTTCTAGCCAGGGCTCACAGCTTCTGGAAATTTTGGATAAGATGTCTCAGAACAGGATGGTCAGGTCAGTTTTCTGGACAATTTTATAGGTGAGGGCTGAAAATTCTCTGGGTCTTGTGGCACCTTGGGCTGAAAAAGCAAAACTCCACCTTGCTGTAAGAGTCTCTTTCCTACACAGTATCTTCATTGAGCCCCACTGCAGCTGTGTGAGGTTCATGCAGATGAGGTTTAGGGGCTCCTTGCTGAGTTAAGGCAGTCTGGCAGAACAGAAATCTAGGCCATGAGCCACTGACTGGCTGTGACCATGGCCAGCCCCTGCCCCTGCTGGGCCTCAAGATGCCACCTTAGGAGCAGAGCCATGCAGGAGGCAGAGCCTGAACGCTTCCCTCTTCTCCTGCCAGGGGCAAGGACCTGAAAGAGCAGCATGAGCGGAAGGTGTGTGAGAGGGAGATGCAACGAATCACCCTGCCCTTGTCTGCCTTCACCAACCCCAACTGTGAGATCGTGGATGAGAAGACCATTGTGGTCCACGCCAGCCAGACTCCAGTTGACCTTCAGGAGGGCAGTGCCCCCCTCATGGGCCAGGCGGGCACTCCAGGCGCCTGAGCCCCCCATGGTGGGCAGGAGCCCATGCAGACAGTGGTGCAGGACCGCCTACCCACCTACAGCTGGGAGGATCTACACTTTTTGTTGTGGCTAAAAACCCCCACTTATTTTTTTGGTTTGTTTTTGGTGAATCCTAAGACAAGCAGGTGGTACTGTGGGCTGAGGGTGAGGCTGGGTGGGGTCCTACCAATGCTGTTTCTCCATCCCATGGAGCAGGATTTTGCCCGTGGATGGAGGCAGCGGCAGTCCCCACAGCAGTGCTGCCAACAGGGCCTTCCAGTGCCCCGGAACTGAACCAGGGGTGGACAAGGAGCTCCCCCAGCTCCTCTGTGCTTTATTGTCCAAGATGGCCTCAGCCTCTGCCTCCCCATGTGTTCTCCTTGGGCTTGAGTGGTGCACGCTGTTATTCACAGTTCAGGTCATGTAGGTTGAGAGGCAGTATTTAAAAAAGATATTTAGTTTTTTAAATATTTGGGATGCAATTCCCTGCAGACCTCTGAGAAATGGAAATAAGTCTGTACGAAAGTCAGAACTGTGGGTTGAGAACGGGATCTAGGCGGGGGGGCTGCTGGCAGTGATGTGCCTTGACAACCGTGGGCTGGGCCCAGGGACTCTTCCTGTTTTGAAAGTAAAGGAAGGGAAGAAGCGCACTGAACATTCCACTTAGGAAGAGGGTAAAGAAGTATCTGCAGCTGCCTCAGGCCACAGGACCCGAGTGGACCTGGGGTGTCCCAGACGGTCTCTCTTCGGGGTGGATAGTGACCTTTCATTCTTCAGGGGTGAGACAGCAGCCAGCTAACCTACGGGAATGACACTGTGGGTGAGGCCTTGTGAACTGCTTCTGAGAGGTTAACCTGGAAACCCACTCGGAGGCAGGGTGATGGAGGGGGCTTCAGGACTTGGCACCTGCCTCGGCCCAAATCTGCAGGTGGCTCTGTAGCCTCCAGGCCAGCGCCTTCCTGTGGGGTCAATAGGGCGAGGGCCACGACCCCTAACTTGTAAAATAATCATAGAACCATTGAGGGACCTTAGGGTGCCCGAAGCCTTTTGGACAGAGGGGCCAGAAGTGGAAACTGACATTCAGGGTCACAGAAGAAGCTACCAGCACGGCCAGCCCTGAGGCCCTGATATCACGCTCGGAGGCCTTAGCACTGCTTTCCGTCCACAGAGCTTCCTTCCCAAAGCCCTGCCACTGCCTCACATGGAGAGGGGTTAGTGGGGCCCAGTCTCTCCGGCAGGCTGTTCCTGGAAGTGATTTGCTGAGGGGACCTAGGCCTCAGGGGGTCCCTTGTTGGTAGAGATGCAGAAGAGAACATTACTGGTTTCTACTTTTCTATAAAAGCATTTCTCTGTGTACATGTTTTATATACCTCATTCTGACACCTGCCTATAAAGTGCAGGAAATTGCTCTGCATTCGACTTATATAAATTAAAAAAAAAGGACGACTCCATATTGCCAAGTTTTTGTGGGGTATCAGGACCCTCCTCCCAAAAGTTGGGAAGTTTTTGGTTACCTTGTCAACACCTGCATGGCAAGCTCTGGCTCTCTGTCCTTCACTCGGGCCCTGCACCTAGGAGGCAGCAGCAGCTGGATGGTTGGGAACTGCAGCCTCCGTGTTTGGGCGTCGCAATCAGGAGCTTTTCAGGTCGAAGTTGCAGGGAAGATGGTATGTGGCATCCCAAAGGAGGCTGGTCACTGCAAATCCTCTTCCCGTCAGCATTCTTTCCGAGGTGGAGATAGTTAAAACGAACATCCAGGCAGCCCCTGGCAGGGGCTGGAGACGGGGTGGTGGGTGGTGGTGCTGTAGCAGCCGAAGGAGGGATAGGTGTGCAGATGGGGGAAGAGTCTCCAGGCTCCCAGGAGCAGCTCTGGGCTGTGGAAGGTCCCTGCGGGGGTGGCTCCTAGGGCTCCAGAAGAAGCTACCAATGGGAGTTCGTTGGGTTTTTTAGCAGGGACTTAGCAGTAGGTTCTCAGCCTCTAGGAACACTTAGGGTGGCCTCTACCCATACTCAGACACTGCTCTATACTTCTAGAAGCAAGGGGCACCCTAGAGCATCAGTTTTTCCAGGAAGCAGATCCTGCCCTTCAGTTGGACTCCAGCTTTTGGAGAAATCACCTTTGGGTACGTGGATGCCTAGTGTGCCCGGGATCCTACAAAGCCAGATCGCAACATCTTGCCCAGCCGTCACCCTCCACGACAGACCCCATGTGCAGAAGCAAGAAACAGGTCTCCCCCTGAGTACTTGCAGGGAAACACCAGGGGTGGGGGTGACTTGCATGCATTTCTTCCTTTAATGAAGGTGGCACCCAGCCCTGCAGAGGACTCCAGGATAGCCTGGCTATGGGAGCGCACGCATGTCAGAGGGCGGCAGCGTATGGCCCTGAAGGGATGACTCAGGCAGGAGGTGGGAGTCAGACCTGCTACAAGGCTGGGGCTGCCTTAGGTGGGTCGTGCATGTTCTCTGGAGCAGGCTGGTGTCTGTGTAAGGAGGGGAATCAGAGGTGGGGGGCACGAGAAGTCCCTGCCGAGGGGTCAAAGTGGCCAGCACACCCTCCACGTGCATCTCCCTGAACCAGGCCGCAAGTCACTCTCTCACTCTCAGCATGGTCGGTTATGTTAACTGCTTAATTTATTTGGTCTGCTCAATGGCCCCGCTTGGGCCCACTCCCCCACACTTGTGGGGACCACTGAGGCACCACCAGCCACACAATGCTGGCCTTCCCGCTGCCGGGAGCCCAGGGCTCGACCCTACAGCAAACCTGCACACTCCACACTTAAGTATGGTCTAGACAGCAAGGAAACTCTGGCCAGAGGTGACATCTAGTCCCACAACTCATCAGGTCTATGTACAGCGTTTCACATAACACCCCACAGATATAACAAGATAGTCTGAACAGCAACCGTTCTCCTGCATCACTCCCACCCACCTCCTCCCCCCCCAATATAACCACCATTGCAGTAAGATCCCAAACCCACTCCTAATCTGTTAAATATGGTGCAAGGTCCCACTTATGGGGAGGCAAATCTACTTGTATTCAAGACCCCCACCCCAGCTCTGGAAGCCAGGGTAGAGGGTGTCCCCTGGGCTTTTCAGCACCCACAGCTGTGAGCTGTGGCTCAGGAGACTGGGGCCAGGAGCTCATGAGCTGGGCCAGCCAACATGGGAGGTAGAAGCCAGAAAGCCCGGCTCGGGGAGATGTCCCCCGCAGCACCTCCGCTCTGGGACTCTGCCACCACATCTTGCCACCCAAGCTGCTGCCTGGATCAGGCACAGTGAGGGGTGAGCATCGGCTGCCACGAGGACAAGGCTGGGAGACTGCTGAGATTCCCAGCACCCCGCCCCATACACTGGGCCTGCGACCAGCCACACTGTCCTCCAGAACCCACCTAGCAAAATCCCAGGCTCCTGAGGTGCCTACCAGGGTGTGAGTGACAGCAGCCAGGATACTAGAGCTTTCTAGCAGGCAGGGCCTCTTTCCTTCCAGCCCCAGCCTCTTCCTGCACTTGTGGCTGACTGCTTGTGGGAGGCAGAAAGGAAGTTCCCAGCCAGTCTCCAGCCGCTCAGTTTGAGAACACGGGGGGAAGCTCCCCCTCGAGCTGATGTGGCCCCTGGGCCCGGGAGGTGAACAGAAACCAGCCCTTCCCCTGACTCCTGGCCGGACACACTACAAACCGACTAAGGGACCCTTCAAAACCTACTCCCTTGACCCTGCCCAGGGGAGGGCAGGATGTGGCGTGGAAGGGGGTAGCACCACTGTCACTTCACATCCTTGGATGGCCGCTCACTCCGCCACGCTCTCATGAGAAGTCCTTCTGCACCAGCTGGATCAGAGGCTTCAGAGCCCACAGGCAGGTGCACCTGGGATCCTGCCCAGCAGGTCCAGGTCACAATGATTAGTGTAAGCAAGAGCCTCCCGGAATCCACTGCCAGGGAGTTCCCGAGTGGTCATGAGTAACAGATTCCTCCTGGCACGGGGACCAGGCTTTTTTTTTGTTTGTTAGTTTGTTTTCTTCTTCACAGCTTTCAGGCGAGTGTTGGATTTACAGACAGTAACCAGGCCCCAGAACCTGTGGAGGTGGCTTCCCTGGTGCTGCACCCGCTCGCCTCCTGGGGAGGTAGTAGGGATGGCTGGTTCTGCTTCTAAACAAGCTGCCAATCCACAGGAAGCGCGGAAGGCCCTGCCCACAGCAGGGATGGGGCGCAGAGGGGGCAGTGCTGGCTGTGGAACGCCCCCCCGCAGGGGGCTGGGCCGGGGCTAGGGGGGCGAGTCCCGGGTCAGGCCATATTGCACTGTCACTGTGTGGTCCAGCTCCTCCAGCTCTGCAGGCAGTGGGATGCCCAGGTCCCCAAGGTACAGGGAGAGGGCCTCAAAGGAGTCCTCCAATTTGGAGAATGCTGGTCTAGAAAGAAAAGGAGTTGGAGACAGGTGAGATACGGGGGTGGTGGCGGGGGGAGAGAAAGGGTGGCACAGAAGGCACCCAGGCCTGCGGCTCCACTGCTTCCTGGGTGTCTGACCTTGGGCAAGCCCCTTAACCTTGGTGTACCTCTGTGGGAAACAGGGGTCATGTAACTGCGTAGGATGTTGCTGTAAAGATGAGAGAGAATAACACTGGGAGAAGGCTGGTCTGGCAGCTCAAAAAAAGCAAGTCCAGGAGAAAAAAAGCCCATCCCACGTCTTGGAGAAAATGCAACCATCACAGGTGGGACTGGACTAAGTACCCTTTTAAAGATCCTTTCCAGTTCTCAGACTGTTTCCACATCAATGGATCTGCCCCGGGAGGGGCATTTCATAGACTCTGGTAGCCCTTCCCAAGGAGTAAAGCAAACGCCTGGCTCCTAGTGCCCTGGAGACAGCTCAGCTGCCCTGGAACCCGACACCTCAGGCTTACTCTCCCGCCTCCTCCTTGATTCTGCTTAGATATCTTGTCACCTTCTTGGCAAGGCCTACTCTGTATAACTTGCACCCTAAACAATCCTTTCCTCGGCTTGACCCCTTTTTCCATAGCATCTGTCACTTCCTCATATGCAACACAGTTTGTCATATCTATTGTTTATCACTTCCCCTTGTTAGAATGTGAGTCCCCGGAGGGCAGGCCCCTTGGTTTTGTTCACTGCAGCATCCCAGAGCTTACGAACGCAGCGTCTGGCACTCAGTAATATTGTCTGAATTAAACAGACATTTACAATGACTGAGAAGGGATATTAGCAAACGAATATTGTGTGGCTTAACATTTTCTCCTCATGCTCTTGTTCTGGTGTGACTGAAGGATTTTGGTCCTTTGGTCCATGAAGGAACAAGATTCAGAGCCTCCCACCAGCAAATCCCAAGTCTAAAGTGGATCTTCGGAAATCATTTAAAAATAAAGGTTGGGGGCCTGCCTGGTGGCACAGCAGTTGAGAGTCCGCCTGCCGATGCAGGGGACATGGGTTCGAGCCCTGATCTGGGAAGATCCCACATGCCACAGAGCAACTGGGCCCGTAAGCCACAACTACTGAGCCTGCGCGTCTGGAGCCTGTGCTCCATAACAAGAGAGGCCACGACAGTGAGAGGCCCGTGCACTGCGATGAAGAGTGGCCCCCGCTTGCCACAACTAGAGAAAGCCCTTGCACAGAAACGAAGACCCAACACAGTCAAAAATAAAAATAAATAAATTAAAAGAAGGCTCAACATTAAAAAAAAATAATAAAAATAAAAAAACAAAATCAATGTAACTATTTAAAAAAATAAAAATAAAGGTTATGTGCCAACTGGTTATCTTGGGGGGGATGGAGCTGGGGAGTGGGGAGTGCTGAGGGGCACACTGCTCAGGAGATTATAGAAAACGTATACTTCCTGTCCTATATATTTTGGTAATGTTTGAATTTGTTTTTTAAAAGAAACATAATTTTTGATAGCAGAAGCACAAAGGTTCTAGTTTTCTAATGCACAAACTTAAAAAGACTCAGAATAACTTTGGTAATAATGAAAGCTATAACCTGAGAAGAATAAAGGTAATTTTAAAAGATTTCTTTAAAGGAAGAAAATGGCTAAACGCATAAAGATGCTCACAGTAGTAACACCTATTGTAAGGAGAAACTGGAAAAACCTGAACATCTACATTATGTATATTATGTGTTCATACAGTCTCCTAGTGAATTCCATAGTCAACAAAAATGATAATCTGGAATACTGGGTAGTGACAAAATGCAGAGCAAAATGTAAAGCTTTTCTCTATTTGACATTATAAATGTACAAAACATATGTATTTGGACATGGACGTGGGAATATGGAAACATGGAGACACTTATGCTGTTAGCATGGTGTAGCTTTGGGTGAATTTCCTGCTGTTAAAGTTTCTTTTAACAGCTGTCTCTGGGTTACATCCATGTCACTTGCTACGATACCCTCGTCTCCCGTCCCCTCGACTGGCATGTCAGGGTTGTCAGGTGGCTTCGGT